TCCCCCGCCTCCCTCCCCCGCGGGCAGCGACTGTACTGTCGTCTGTGTTCTGCGTCTGTCTTTTCCTTCATTTGCTGCTTCCTTTGTTACGCTCCACGAGTGAAACCATAGGGTTCTTGCCCTTTCCTGCCTGATGTGTTTCACTGAGCGTGATAAACACCTAAACATAGGACCTGAAACAATAAAATACATGGAAGAAAACACAGGTACTAAACTTATGGACCTTGGTCTCACAGAGAACTTTATGAATTGAACCTCAAAGGCAAGGAAAGTAAAAGCAAAGGTAAATGAATGGGGCTACATTACACTAGAAATCTTCTTCACAAAAGAAACAAACAAAAAGGCAGCCAACCAGATGGGAGAAGATACCTGCAAGCAATACCTCCAATAAGGAGCTAATATCCAAAATGTATGAAGAACCCATACGACTCAACAATAACAAAAAAACAAGCAATCCAATTTAAAAATGTGCAGAGGCCCTAAACAGACACTTTCCCCAAGAAGACACATAGCTTTCGTTCGAGACGCCAAAGCCAGGACCACGCAGGGAAGCCACCCGAGCCCCAGCCAAGGAAACTGTGAGATAATAAATGCTTGCTGTTGTTTTAAGGCACTGAATTTTCAGGTGCTTGGTAATAAATAACAGTGACTATGGGGGAAAATGATGATTAAAGTTTGAAAAATAGTGGCCTAGAAGGGCATATCCAGAAGGAAAAGAATCTGGGCCAGAAGAAGAAATCTATCCCCCATGCAGGGAAATTATTTTTCAAGGGAGGTGCAAACTCCTTCAAGTCACTGCGCCCAGCTCAGCTGCGTAAGCCCCATTCCTGTGCACGACCAGCACATAGTAGGTGCCCAGGGGGTGGTGCCAAAGAGACTATCTGGAACCCAGCTCTGCTCCTGGGTGTAAGCCATCAAACACCTGGGTCTCCTTATCTGGGAAACGGAGATAACTGAGCAACTATTGTTGCCGGAGCCAAAGAGAGGTGAGTGTTCCCTGCTTGGGCAGCACCTGCGCGAGATCTGCCGTCTCACCTTCCACCTAAGGGTGTCTGCTGAGCGAGGAATGGCCCCACACTCCTCTATGGTCACGTCGCTCCTCTATGTTACATGATCAACTTAATACAAAGTGAAGGGAAGGGGTGGAAACGATCAGAGTGCTCTACCGAGTACTGGTGGTACTCTGTGAAATGTACGCTTAGTTTATACGTATGTGTCAGAACGGCTGGGTCGCAGTGTAGAAGGTTTGCTGTCAGGGTTGCCAAGTTATTGTGCCGGGCGGCAGGGGGTGGAGAAGCGTGGGGCGGGGCAGTTTCCAGCTCTGAAATCAATACGGGATTGGAAGCGCCTTCCCGCCCTCGCCAGCTGTGACACTGAGCAGTCACGTACCTCTGGAATCTCCAGCTCTCTCTGCACCTGTAAGGGGACTCCCGTCCGCCTGCGCCCAGAGGACGAAGCTGACCCTCGGCAAGTACCTAACATGATGTTGGCCACGTAAGAAATGTTTATCCCACCATTTAAAAAGCCTCCTTACAGTGCACGGAACTCCATCTTATATACGACAGTCACGAGCATCTGTTAAGTGTGTACTGAGTGTCTAATAATCAGCGACGGCAATCAGGAACTAAAGCTACCGCCGTGGGAGCACTTGCTACGTGACCGAGCTAAGTGCTTTATGTATTTGGTCTTGCTTATGTTTCTGAACTGAACATGACCAGTATTCCCCTCTCCCATCCCCCGCCCCCTTACTTTTAAATCTCACCCAGGGATATGTTTTTTTTTTATTTTACAGAGAGAGGGAGGGAGAGAGAGGGCGAAACATCGATGTGAGAGAGAAACATGGGTTGGCTGCCTCCTGTATGAGCCCCGACTGGGGACTGAACCCACAACCTAGGTCTGCGCCCTGCCCCGGAGTCGAACCTGCAGCCTTTCACTGTATGGACAATGCTCCAACCAAAGGAGCCCCCCAGCCAGGGCCCATTCTCCCCTTTTCAAAGAGACGAATGTAGAAGCTCAGAAAAAGTATATAACCTGCCAGTGGCCACTCAGCCGTTAAGTTGCAGCTTCAGGACCTGAACCCAGGCAGATGGGTGCCAGAGTCTGTACTTGCAGCCTCAGCAGGTGCCTCCTGCGTGAGGTTCTGAGCTAGACCCGCACACGCGTGGCATGTCCTCGCCCGGAGGGCACCCAGGCCCGGGGGAGAGAAGGCGCAGGGGAGCTGGCAGGTCGCGGGGGGGCGCACAGAGTAATCAATCATTTCCGAAACGTCGAAGGACCTTCTCAGACAACGCTCCTTGCCCTCTCAGCATCTCCAATGAGAGGCAGACTTACCGCTCCTGCTCCCAGCGTCCACGGCACGTGAGACTTGCTGAAAGGTCCCATACA